GTCGGCATAGTCGTCGGGCGGGCAAAACCCCATATCACCCGTACATGTAGCAGCGATCGAGCACGGACCTGCCGCCGTGTCACCGCAAACGGTACCCGACGGCAGGTACTTGTCGACGCACTTGCCGTTGCCGTCGCAGAAATCTTGTCCGTCGCAGGGGTTGTCGTTGCACGTTCCCGTGCACTTGGTCGTCGTCGGCGCAAACTTGTCGACGGGACATTGACTACCGGTACCGGTGCACGTCTCGGGAGCATCGCAGTCGCTCGCCGACGGACGGCACACCGTCGTCGACGGTAGATACACGTCGACGCAGTTGCCCTGTCCGTCGCAACGATCTTGTCCGTCGCACAGATTGCCGTTGCAAGTACCCGTGCACGTCTTGGTCGACGCCGCAAATCCATCGCGCGGACAGAAACCAGAATTGCCGGTGCCAGGATTCAGCGACATCGCACTGGCCCTTGGACGGTCGGCACACCGTCGTCGTCGGCAGGTACTCGTCAACGCAGTTGCCTCTGCCATCGCAGTAGTCGACACCGTCACACGCTCCGCCGGTGCTCAAGCCAGAGCACGTCGTCGTCACAGACGCAAACGCGTCGGCAGGGCACGCGCCGCTGCTTCCCGTGCACGATTCGGCGATATCGCACTGCCCCTTGGACAGACGGCACACCGTGGTCGATGGGAGATACTTGTCTTCGCAGTTGCCCTTACCGTCGCAGTAGTCGACGCCGTCACACGCTCCGCCGGTGCTCGAGCCGGAGCACTTGGTGGTCGCACTTGCAAAACTGTCGGTCGGACACGCGCTCTCTTTACCCGTGCAGGTCTCGGCCACGTCGCAGGCACCCACCGACGCACGGCACACCGTCGTCGACGGCAGGTACATGTCGACGCAGTTGCCCTTGCCGTCGCAGAGATCTTTTCCGTCGCATGCGCCACCCGACTGAGTTCCCGTGCACGTCGTGGAGCTCGCTGCAAAGGCGTCGGTTGGGCAGGTGCCACTCTTCCCGGTGCAAAACTCGGATACGTCGCATTGGCCCTTGGATGCACGGCACACCGTCGTCGACGGCAGGTACTTGTCGATGCAGTTGCCCTTACCGTCGCATGTATCGACATCATCGCAAGGGCTGCCGTTGCACGTGCCCGTGCAAGTTGTGGAAGATGGCTGGAATGCGTCAGCGGGACAGAAGCCACTCGTTCCGGTACACGATTCTGCCACGTCACATTGGCCCTTGGATGCACGGCACACCGTCGTTGACGGCAAGTAGATGTCGACGCAGTTGCCCTTGCCGTCGCATAAGTCGACGCCGTCGCATGGGTTGCCGTTGCAGGTACCAGAGCATGTCGTCGTCACAGACGCAAAGGCATCGGTTGGGCAGAAGCCACTCGTTCCTGTGCAAACTTCAGCCTCGTCGCATTGACCCTTGGACGCGCGGCACACCGTCGTCGTCACAGACGCAAAGGCATCGGTTGGGCAGAAGCCACTCGTTCCTGTGCAAACTTCAGCCTCGTCGCATTGACCCTTGGACGCGCGGCACACCGTCGTCGACGGCTGATAGTTGTCGACGCAGTTGCCCATTCCGTCGCACTTGTCGACACCATCGCAGGGGTTGCCGTTGGAAGTACCGGTGCAAGTCATCGAAGATGGCTGGAATGCGTCAACGGGGCAGGTGCCACTCGATCCGGTGCAGAACTCAGATACGTCGCACTGGCTCTTGGACGCGCGGCACACCGTCGTCGAAGGCAAGTAGATGTCGACGCAGTTGCCCTTGCCGTCACATTTGTCAACACCGTCGCATGGGTTGCTGTTGCTCGCGCCAGTACATGTTGTTGTAGATGACGCGAACAAGTCGGCAGGACACGCGCTGGCCGTGCCAGAGCACATCTCGGCCTCATCGCACTGGCCCTTGGACGCACGGCACACCGTAGTGGATGGCAAGTACTTGTCGACGCAGTTACCAAAACCGTCGCACATGTCTTGGCCATCACAGGGGCTGCCGTTGTTGGTGCCGGTGCACGTCATGGACGAGGATTTGAATGCGTCGACGGGACACGTGCTGGCCGTGCCAGAGCAAACCTCGGCTACATCGCATGCACCATCGGCTTGACGACACACCGTCTCGGAGCCTTTGAAGGCACTGACGCACGTGCCAAGGTCGTCGCAGTAATCATTGGCGTCGTCGTCGCACGAGCCGCCGTTCGAGCAACTCTTGCCAGGACACTTGGTACGCGCCGGCTTGTACGCACTGACGCATTCGGCTTTGGCGTTGCAATAGTCGTTGGCGTCGTCGTCGCAAGCGCCCCCGTTCGTGCAACTCTGGCCCGGGCACTTGGCACCCACTCCCAGTGGCGTGTACTCGCAATAGCCAGACGTACCGCACGTGGTACTGTAGCATGCTCGAGCTGGGCATTCGTTGGCGCTCTTGCACACCTTGGCCGCGGCCTCCAAGACATATTCATGCCGACCGGAGTCGTCTCCATAAGATCCATGGCAACCGAGAGCCCGATCGCGTTGGCCACGACGCAGACCCTGAGAAGCTTCATGGCAAAAAGCAAAATGGAAGGTACGAGACGACTGCATCGCCCGCTGTCGATCTCGAACAAGAACAAGAAGGTCCACCCGCATAATTCGAACACAATCGCAACTCTTCGACGCGAAACGTAGGCTACGTCTTTCTATCCTTCGAGTTCGACGTCCGCTTTCGGACTGATAGCGGGCTTCGTGGTGCATTCTTCGCGGTACATGGAGTACCTTGGTCCATATTGCGCTGTGAGATTGGGAACGAGCTACGCACCAACCACCCTTATGCATGTTTTAAACATAAGAATGCTGCTCAAATCTACGCATTGCATTGAACAAGATATCTTTGAGATAGCAACGAACATCGTGCCCCTCGAGCAAAGTGAAGAACCGCCCAAGATCGACATTGTCGGATTGACCGAAATATCGAAATCTACTGCGAGAACAAGGTGACTGACTCATGGGAGCGCGCGATACCAACGCACGCAAGACTTCGCATTGTCCAGTAAGATACCTTCATATTGCATGGTAGGCAAAACCTTGCATTGTAGCAACCAAAAGTACGTTGTATTGTTGCGTGTCAATCATCATATGCAAAAAGGCGAGTTCAAAAGGCGGCCGACGCGTCTTCGTGGGTCGCTAGCAACTTGTACGTGGCGTCGTCCAGTGCGAGCTCGTCGCGGCGTTGACGCATCGTGACCATGGCAACGGCAGCAGCGACGACACAGACGAGGCCGAGTAGCACCATGGGCGACGACGACGACATGGCCACGAGCATCGACTGCACTGGCGCCTGGTCGTCGGCCGTCATCTCGCGAAGGTTGCCTTCCAAAAATGACTTGAGAACAG